AGTTCGCTGGGGCGGCTGAGTCACGCTCCCCGCTGCCCGCAGCGGCGATTTCCACCCACAGCGTCCAAGCGCACAGCCTCCCGCTGCCGTCGGCCCCACGTGAGGTGAGCCCCTCGGTGGATGTCAGGAGCAGGGGATGCTCAGGGGACGGCACGGCCGTGGCACACGGATGCTGCCGGAAAGGAGCTGCAGCCCGGTGGCTCTGATGGAGGCTTGGGTGCGTCGCAGGTTTGGCAAGTGTGATGAAAAAAAATCCCTTCCCTAAATATCAGTTTCCATCAGTCTTCATGGTATGAAAGTATATTAACTTTATTTTTATATATTAATTATACACTGTGAGGTGATGAGGAAGTGGAATTTTACTGGAGACTTTGGTATTGTTTGTGCTGAAGTAAAACAAACAAAAGGACAGCCCGGCCCTGGAAAGAAGGACTTGGCTTCTGGGAAGCTCAGAGCGGTCCGTGAAGGATAAGGGATACCCCAGTCAGCCCAGGTAACGCCAGCATCCCGGCCCCGCTGGCACGTCCTTGAAACCCTCCCGGCGTCGCCTGGTGTCACCGACCAGTAACTCCAGCAGGACTGACTCCAGGGGCGCCTGGATCGATAGGCGAGCGGCAAGAACGCCGCAGAAATAGAGCGGGTTTGCAAAGTTTCGCTGTGATTAGCAACCGGTGGCGTGGGCGTTAGCGATTAGTCAAGTCCTCTCGTACCTGCGTGTTGAAGGGTATAAGGACCCTGCGTAAAACCACATTCGGTTGCCCCAATTTGGCTTGGACCCCTCATGCGCATGAATAAATATTTACCCTTGTAATTCCACGCTTCGCATCCCAGCCTCCCGCCTCGGTCAGCACAGGCCAGCTGTGAATCTTCATACCACAAGCCCCCGGTGAGGAACCTCCCTGTCACACCACGGGCACTACACGCCCTTCGGCTGGTGCGTCCCACCTCCCCGTTTCAGGTGCTCTCCTCCTCCCGTTATGCTCGGTGCCCTAAACGAACCGGCTTCTCCCCTGGATTTGCAGCCACTTAACTTGCATTTGCCACAGAATTCGCTTAACAAACCCAGCATTCACCTTGCTCGGGGAACGTGCTAAGCAGCAGCGCCAGGCCAGGAAGGCAGCCGAGGCAGTGGGTGCTGCAGCAGATTTGGCCGGTGGTGGCTCAGCGGCAGGTATGCCAGGCAGCCCGGGCCACTGCGGCTCGGAGCGAGCCGAGGGTCCTGCAGCGCTGGGTCGCAGCCATCCCCGATGGCTTTCGCTTTAAAACATCACGGGGCAGCATCGGGAGAGAGCTGGGAAGAGAGATGTCGCTGGTTCTCGGGCCGGTCTGGGGCTGAAGCCCTGTGCCACCCTGCACGTTGTGATGGGCTGAGGTGCTGGAGCAACGCGTCGAACAACCAAGCAGGGTCCAAAGGAAAACGCAGTGGTGCAATCGCATCCTTTAGCTCGCTTTCCAGCAGAAGCACGTAAGTTAGCACGGGCCATCTGTGCAATGAGTTCTTCTGGTTTCCTTGAACAAGAGCAAACAGCTGAGACATTTTGCTGGAAGAACACATGACACCAATAAAGCAGTAAATAAAATCCATGTGCGATGCTTTGCAGTTCAGTTGTAATTAACTCTGCACTGCCAAAAGAACTGAAGCCAGAACTGCGCATTAATTACACGTTAATGTGAGTGTTCATCCGCTCTCGGCTGGCTAGCTCTCTGGAGACCGTGGCTTTTATTTCATTTTTGCATATGCCAAAACCACCATGGCCCAGTGGGACCCATGTGGAGCCAGCGCGCTGGGGCGGTTCCCGCTGCTCCTCCTAAAAGCTCAGCTAAAACCCAGCAAGGCTGAAAGCAAATCCTGGCAAGTTAACGTCCGTTTGCGACAGCAGGAGGAACGAGGTTAGAGCATGAAGGACTCTGGCCGCTCTCCGGGGGCTGCGCCCGCACACACGTCCTGTGCCCGAGGTCAAATTCAGCCAGATTGATGTTTGTGAACCAGAATGCTTTTTGCTGCCGAAGAGCAGCAAACGTCCTGCCAGCGCCGTGGAGCCTCCACTGGGATCAGCCCCTGGCTCTGGGTCTCTCCTGGCAGTGACCCCGGCTCTGTGCGAGCCCCCTCTCCTGCCGGGGCTCGGTCCTCCCAGAAGCTGTCGCGGTGCTGACCTGGCGTGGCTGCTGCTGCTGTGGGTGCTGGAGGCTGTCCAGTGCGGTGGACTTCAGAGCGGGGAGGACACGTCCATCCTTGGATGGGAAGGCACTCAAATGTCCTCCCAGGCGAGGGAAGACACGTGCCTTGGTCTGCCAGGGAAATCATAGAATCCCAGACTGGTTTGGGTGGGCAGGGACCTCACAGCCCACCCAGTGCCACCCCTGCCATGGGCAGGGACACTCTCCACTAGCCCAGGTTGCCCAAAGCCCCATCCAACGTGGCCCTGACCA